GAGTCGATGAAGATTCGTGAAGTTCCAATTTTATTTTTTCCCAAGTGAACCGGCTTTTATTTTTTATTAAAAGCATCTCTTTCTCACTGAGGACCAACTTGTACGAAAAAGAAATTGCGTAACTGATTTTATGAGTATAATTGTATCGAAAATTCCGTTCGTTAAAATACTTATCTAAATACGAAGCTAATATTTAAATAATTATCTAAATAATAACGCAGTAAACATACAAAATATATCTTTAATAGCAGTACCGATTGTCCGAAAGGTCTCGAGTTACACGCGCTTCTGGGAAGGACTCGTCAAGAGTTCGTTTACTATAGAATTAACCTTTGGGAACGTCCTTCGTGCAGGGCATTCTGGAATTTCTAGGACGGCGATTAAATCCCGTAGAGTCAATCGCGAGTTCAATCTTCAGCACACACCGGCTATTCATTAGTCGTTGCGACGTCGTCGCCGATCCGCCGATGAGAAAGAAAAAAAAAGGGAAATGAAAGGGATGAGAGACGTGCCGGAGCGCGCGTCGTTCGTTGCACACCGTCGAAGAAAGTAAATTTCATTTACTTCAGGGTCACCCGGTCGCGGGAGAGAACGTATCGCGGAAAAAGTGAACAACACGGTGAAGCGACGCTGATCGCGGCAGCCGCGGCGGCGCTGCATTAATACGCCGGGCCGGGAGAGAAGTGAACGTGAAGGAATAAAGAAAGTATCGAATTCTCTTCGGTGTGTGTCTATGGAAAGGTACGGAAAATTTCGCCCGATTTAGTTACACCGAGAATGCGACTGTGACGAAAAGGGAAGTATGATGGAGAGGGAAAAAAAAAGCAGGATGTACAGGACGTCGGACGCTATCGCGCAGAGACACTTTCTCTCTTGATTACAGATATCGAAGATTAAGTTGGAAAGAATGTCGCTTTTGGCAACGTGGAATTGAAAAAAAAATCTGTGTGTCGATAAATTCGCTTTTTGCGACGCATTTTATTTCACTATGATTATGAATTATTTTTATTATATTAGACACAATAATTATTTTTTTCTGGCCTGTCGATATATTTTTTAATTAAATATAAAATTCAAAACAATTCTATCAATTTATCGCATTTACTTTGTACAAGGAATTGTTGACACAAAAAAAAATTGTTTACATAATCATACACTTTCAATATTTAATCGTGAAATATTTCAAATAAAATACGAAATAAAATAAAATTTGCACACAATTTTTTGCGATAACAGTTACGTACAACATACATGACAAATGTACGAATTGTTCAAATGCAATCTGTACGATGCCACTCACGAGATAAGCGTAACGAGGGAATTAAATATTACACAGATATAATTAATTTATTATTTATCAAACCATTGATAGAATTTAATTTATTTAATTCGTATGTAACACGATAATGATAATAGAGATAGAAATTATTTAAGATAGTTAATCCTATATTTATCTATTTAACAATCTCTTACATATACAGTTTGTCTTTAAAAATTAAGAGAAATTATCTTAATATTCGAAAATAATAATATGGATTTGTAGAAAAGGAAAAAAAAATTTGAATTAAACACAATTCCAAAAGTTATCTCGAAATATAAATTATTAAAATTATATAGTAATATAAAATGTAATAGCAAATCTTTTATCGAAGTAACTTCTCTGAAAAAGAATTTTAAATGATGATTTGTTCGAATCATTATCATAAATCTTTGCTCGGCTTATCTATTTATCGAAATTTTTCAAGTGACAATATTCGTTTCTACAAAAAGATGTTTGAGTATAAATTGCAATTAGAAATAAGAAGATAGTTTCTGTGATAAAACTGTTGAAATTAAAAAGAGGACAACGGTTAGTCGGGTATAGAAATACTCGCGAGTACTTCTCGACACTTGGAAAGTCACCGACCTTGACAGACATTTCGACATTTCTCACACCAGTGAATTAGTGCTCTTTCTTGACAAGACACGTGTCATTATCGTATGCAAAAATCTTGATTATCTAGGCAGGTGCGTTAGTACATAAAATACTCTAGAACTTGTATTTTGTGCTTTGTACTTGCCATTAAAGAGTTATTTTACAGAATACGCAAATATTGCACATATTCTTGTAAATATTCTCTCTTTGACTTATTTTAGAGGCCCACTGATCGTACGGCAGTAGTATTTACATAGGACCAGATCCGCTTAATTTTTTCTCAAGCATTTTTCCTCCAGGTAGAGCTGGCGATCGATTAGAAAGCGAGGGAGAAACGTGCTGTTCAGAATATTCAAGAGCACGATGTTGCAACTCGTTGCAACAATATTATCGAATTTCGATACTATATCAGTGGAGAGATTCGACGTCTCGATCGTTCCATTCTCGTAACATTTAAGACAAATGTTCTCCTAAATGTTAAACGAATGCTTAACGAGTGTTTAGGAGAGCCACGTACATTTCGAAGAATAAATTTTTATTTTATTTTATTTATATAAGTTATTTTAAGAACATCTATTCTAGCATGCATATGCATAACTGAATTTATTTTGTGCATAGATAATGAAGATCAAGACAATATAAAAAATTTATTACATATGTAAAAATAGAGAAGATGAGTAAACAAGTGGTGCACAAACAAGTGGTGCGAGTAAAAGTGACAACATATTAGGTGTGCAAGTTAATTCGGTATCTTTTTTTCATGATATTCGATATTCATTCGGAAAAAGTCAAGTACAAATTTAATGTCTTAACTCTTGAAATAATTTTCATTACTTTCAATGACTTTGCTCTATCTATTGAGCAGCAAGTGCCTTCGCGAAAAAAGCTTGGCGGTTTTGACTCGATAAGGTCATCAATGCTGGGCCTTATAGATTCCCCACTTCCTCAAAATGTGCGATTGAAATAGGTAGCAGTCCGATTAGATCGGGGCTAGATCTGATGAATAAGTCACATGAGGAAGAATTTTGCATAGATGACATTCTTCGTCCCTTTTATATGTAGTTGAACGCTGTCGTATTGCAAAATCACTTATCGCCTAATTCCGTAGTCAGTATAAAATCTTTTTTGCTGCAATATATCATTCAAGTAGATAGTTTGAAATTGTTATTGATAATTTTCTGCGACCAGAATTCAGCAATTTATAGTACACTGCACGTTTTATTTTTACATCTCACCAGGTATACATCCTTTATACCAAATAAAATTTTTTTGGCTTGAATATTGAATTTCGGAGTCAATATCGAGCCGAAAAAAAATTTCCATTCCGAAACTTTATTTTTTGCTCGTTTTTTTTATTTGTCCAGAGCGGGATAAATTATTTCTGTGTTTACAGATAACATTTTTTTTATCTTTCGAAATGCGTAAAAAAATGCATTTCAAATGTTGCCTTTCAACTGTCATTTCATCAAAATGGTGTTTGTCATATGGTGTTTTGAGAACTTAGGAATACACTCGTAAAACAAAAACTTTTTTAAATGGAGTTATAAAGCACATACAATATAAATTTATATGGCTTTCAAACTTTCTTTGAAATTTTCGAGATATATGAAAATTTCAAAGAAAATTTTTTTTGATGCATCTTCTCTGTAATTTAGAATCTACAAATGTTAGGTTTCTAGGACCCTACATTTGTAATGTAGTAATGTAATATTTATTCCTTCGTGAAATAAAAAGCATTATTTATTAGTGAATATTTTGTTTTAAAAACATTATTCAGTATTTTCATTTTTTATGATTGTTCAATGTTATTTTTAATCGTAAAACTAGAACTTTTTTTGTAATTTTAATCCGTCTTTTATATCAGTACTGTTTTATATTTGTATATCGCTTACAAAGAGATATAAATATTAGTTATATTGTGCGATAAAATGTACGTGTAAAATAGAATCGATATCTTATGACATAGAAAATTATCTCGAAAAAAGAATTGGACTATTATATAACAATTATGTAAGTTAATTAGCTAAAAGCTATTATATATGTGAAACGTTGACACTCGAAAAATGATGCAATGGTCACTTTCCCCAAACTTGAGTTTCATCTCTTTACGCTGTATGCAAATTGTATATGGGTATAGACATACGATATACAGGTGTTATCTTATTCTCGAAAGGACCTGATACATTCTCGCAGTCATTAGTATTAATTGAAATTGAAATTAATAATCAAAATTTTTTGTGACAAGCCTCTCAAAAAGTGATGTAATAAAGAAAATTTAAATAAATGATTTAAATAAATGATGTTTAAATAAGTGATAAGAAAAGAGAGAGGGACGGGGGGGGGAGAGAGAGGAATAGACATATAATTACAATTAATTAGAATTTATTACAACTACAACAAATTATAATTAATTTTAATCAATTTAACACAAAATTTATGATTCTGATGAGTCCCCCTGCCTCAATAAAAAATGAAAAAAACATGTGCATTTATACAGATGTGTCATAATAATTGTATCACTTCTCGGCAAATAGAGCGTGATTAAACCACCGAGCAGAAAAGTTTTGTGTTATTTTGCAGTCTTTGAAATAACTAATGGGAATTTATGAATATCCCCGAACAAGCGTGCATCCACGAGAAGAAACAATTCAGCGTTTTATGCGCACTTACGTTGCTAGATGTTTGGAGATATAATCTACAAGTATAATAGAACATCCATTTATAATACACATATTCAATATTCTTGCTGCACGCTTAGCAAGCGTAAGTGCAAAACTGAGCTGTCTGTTTACATGGATGCGAGCTCATTCGCGAATCTTTATAAATTAATATCTCACGAATTATTTCGAAGTTCGTAAAATTACAAAAAACTTTTCTGCTCAATTTATACAATCTATTTATACAATTATTACCTGACATTACAAAAAGAATAAAATAGATATTCATGATTCAATAGTTGTAATTTGTTTGCTTTCTTTTTCGTTTTTGGTAAAGAAAAAAAAAATCTATTTTCTTTGTCTCTTTTCGTAAGTTATTACGATTGATTATTTGTTAGAAAAGTCGCACGTGTCAATATGTGTTGCAGATTACACGCAGTTTTTCATACGAAATTAACGATGTTGGCGCGAGCATTCGAGATATACGGCCAGTTCTGCAGCGGCCATCCCTTGGAGGTCATCGTGACGATCTCCACTTTGACAGTGTGCTTGCTTAACTTGGACACGGGGAATGGACAGATGCGCGAAGAAAACTTATCCGATGCATATTGTCACCATGATAGATGCGATACTATGGTAAGCAGATCTCATAAAGGTCAAAGAAGCTTCGATCGTTCTCTTGAGAATATGCAAAGTTGCAGTTTTATTTTACATAAGTATGTTTAATATTGTATTAAAGAGATTTCGAATCGAATTATTAAAAAAAAAAAATAATATATATATATAAATATTTTGAATAAATAATTACATCAGATATTATTTATATTATTTGTGATGGAATAATTGACGTAATACTGTCATATTAAATTAAATATAAAATTTTTATACGCACTATTTTTTTTATGATTCCAATAAATAAAAAGTTTATAATGCGTGCGTGTGTATATTGTTTAACAGGACCTAAAAGCGACTAACGTAATAGTGATGACGATAATACGCTGCTTGGCGGTATTATTTACCTATCATCAGTTCCGCAATTTACAAAGAATAGGTTCTAAGTATATTTTAGGTAAGATTGTTCTTCGGTTAAAACATTTGCTTTGATTACTATTATTTATGTACTGTTACCTATATAATATATACTTATTACATAATAATAATTTATACTGAAATTACCTATGCAATATAACCGATTAAATGATTTAGTAGACATTTTTTTTAGATTACATATTTATGTGGTATAATTTTGTTACCATTTTGAATATGTAAAATAATATTGAAATTTTATGTTATTAGATACTAAAGATCTTGTCCAACGGTCTATTTTATATTATCTATATAAATATTTATACTATCTATTCCTATATTTAAATATTGAAAAGCTTTTTGCTCACTTATTTTTAGTTATTTTTAGTTTATTACATATATTAAGCATAATAAGCCACGTATAAAAAATTTCTATAAACTATGCGTAAAAATTTTAATTTACATATTTAATTTACATATTTAATTTTAATTTACATATTTAATTCTATATAGATATTATACATTCACTTAATTATATATACTCATTTAATTATATATACATTTATATTTCCTATTTGTACATTATTTAATTATTTTTGAACGTTGAAATATAATACTGTTTGCGGTATTTTTTTATAGAAATGTCGAGTTTTTAAAATATATACTTATTTCTATGACATTTGCAATATAATATAAAATAAATATAACAAGAAAATATTAACATTATATAAGAAATAAAAATAATGAAGTTTGCTTCAGTTTTACCTGATTTTTCTGTGAATGGAATTATTTTGTTTTATATTCGAGGATATATATTATGGAACTGTTCGAAATGGATTCCGATCAAAATTACTCATTTGTTTCCTAGATTTCTATTTTATCTTTCCTAAAACGGAGTAACTCCGAAATCTCCTTCAAACAGTTTCATAGTACATCTTCTGATCGATACATCCTGATTCGTTGACAAGAAAAAGACGCGGAGAGAGATGCGTAATAATTACGCGTGTCAGGACCATTCATAAAACCGGATCTTCTCGAGCGGCATGTGAAAGCCCAAGCCGATGGCAAACAGTGAAAGTCTTGTGGAAAGCGATAGCAATTTGTACGAAACATTGTATTTGATTACTGAATTTACGGTTACTGAATTTAACTCTACATGACGCATGACGATATTTCAATTCAGAGAAGAATTATGGCCACAAATACAAAGCTGTATAAACATCGACTGCGTAGATGTTTATATTGATGATTAAAATAAATAGATTACCAATTAAAATAGATATTTCGTATTCCATTTATATGTTGCGCACACACACGACAAAGAAATTTTCAACTCGTAAATATAAGAGAAACAAGATGACCGATGTATATCTGTTTACGCATCTCTCACATTAGGTATCGAAATCACCGCTTTCGTTTGTCACAATTTAACACATTCGACAGTTTAACTTTGATTATCGCATACTCAATAGGCCTTTTGCGTTCTAGGTATCGTCGGCCTATTCACCGTATTCTCTAGCGTAGTGTTCACATCCAGCGTGGTGAGCTTTAGCCGCAGCGACATCGCGGACTTGAAGTAAGCGTGCCGTTGGACGACTTAAAAAAAAAAAAAAAAAATAATTATCTTTCTTACGGCTATTATTATACCATTATATGACTATAATTATTTCTCTTCAGGGACGTCTTATTTTCTATCTGCTTCGTATAAACCTCTCAAAGGCCGCGACGTTGGCGAAGTACGCGCTCAGCGCGCGGAATCAGGAAGAAGTCAAGGCAAACATCGCGCGCGGCATGTCTCTGCTGGGACCAACGATTACCGTGGACACCCTCGTAGAGGCTCTTCTGATCGGCATAGGATCCTTGTCGGGTATCAGAAGGCTCGAGATCCTCTGCACCTTTGCGTGCCTCGGAGTCATCGTCAACTACATCGTCTTCATGACGTTCTATCCGGCCTGCTTATCGCTTACAATCGAGGTAACTTAATTCGACGTTTTCATTCAAATTACTCCTTTCCTGCACAATTTTTCTTCTCCTTTACATTGAATATATATTTATTCAATTTCAAACGTAGAAAGCGTAACACGCAAATTAAGAGGTATAGACCAAAAAGAACGCCCCACTTGTCATCAGAGAAATTAAATGTTATTAAATGGTTGAACATATTATGTTGTTGTTATTATTATTATCATTATTGTTATTGTTATTATTGTTGTTGTGGTTGTGTTGTTGTTGTTGTGGTTGTGTTGTTGTTATTGTTATATGTCAAATATATGAATGCAAAAAATAAATATACATTTTTTTTATATTTGAAACATCGAACTTATCAAGATTTTAAAAACATAAAACTAGAAAAAATTGAATTGATTTTATATATTTAATAATAAAATTCAATATGCATATTGTGCAATTGATTATTGTTATATAATTTATATTTTCAAATATCAGATATATGTACATGTATTTATCAATATAAAAGATTCATCATTATTTATTATAGATTTCACGTGGGAATAATAACATGAGGCAATTGAGCGCGGACAGGATATTCATAATGCAGCCGTTAAACGAGGAAGATCAAAAACCGAATCCCGTGGTGGAGCGAGTCAAAATGATCATGATTTTTGGTTTACTCGTAGTACATGTTCACAGGTATGCATCGCCATTGTCTTTTGCGATAATATGTAAGATGATCTCTTAGTGTCTTGAATTTTCGAATTGGCGAATACGGCCGTACACAATAATGTATATACACGGCGGAAGCCGTGGCAAAAGAAACTATTGTCATTTTGACCTCCATTACTTTTTTGTGTTTGCCACTGCCTTTGTTAAAAAGGTTTGTGACGCCTAATTTCAACGTCAGATCAGGTTCATCTGCGGATGTATTAGCATTTATATATACACTTCTATTCAATAAAGTATCCATATTCAATGAAGCTTTTCGCGTACGAAAGATGATCTTATCATGCGAGAAGTTTGGACGTTTTCAAAGGCTCGTCGGTCGTGAAACAAATTCGTAACAGCCGGAAATGCTATCCATATTTGCATAGTTTTTCTCGTTTTGAGTAGTTGTTTACATAAAAAAGTTGACGAAATCGATGACATCAAAAGAATAACATTTCAAATGTGTTTTTAGACAAACATGTTTTGTTGTTTGACTTTGTTATTTGTTTTCTGACAAAATATTAACAGATAAAATATTTAAGGAATGTTTAAGTAACGGATGTAACTGAATTTTTACAATTTCACATTCGGCATAGGATCCTTGTCGGTTACTCATTGAAATGAGTTTTTAAACATTTCCGGAGTTACAATATTTTTTATTTATATTGTAAAAATAGTGATAATATTATACATGAATGCAACGCGTTTTGTTATATAATTCCAATTTTATGCAATTTGTAAATATTTTTTAATATTTAAAGTATCGAAAAGCTGGGCTTTCGTGCAATCTGTATGAATGGCGAGGTGTGTTTTAATATTGCATGAGAACGTTAATAGTAACGCGTTTACAAAGGATAGACGGTCGTCCATACAAAGTAAAATGAGAATCCAAAAATAGGTGACATTATAGAAAGGTGGTGGTACAGAATACTTTGGGTTTCCTTGCTCGCGGTTTACTCCGATTGGTTGTCTCTAAATTATATTTTAGTTTGCGAAAACACGTTGTTGCGTTCGCTTCGCACTTCGATTACGATTTCCAGTTTCCCCGATCGTCATCCCTTATATATATACATATATATATATATATATGTGTGTGTGTGTGTG